CCGTTCAATAACAATACAGGTTTAATGAACAGTGTTTAGGCACATGATATGCAAATTAGTCACCACTGCGCCGGAGTGTGTTGGGAACCCCTAAAGAAAATGAAACATTTATTGTAGACTTTAGTGTATAGCAGCTATCAGACACTTTTGCTTACATTATCTTCGGCAGTTTCCGACTGTGCTCGGAAATGTTTGTAAGCATTCCTGATTAAGAAGTTATTTTATATGTCACATTAATGTAACCATATCCTTTTAAGATTTGTTTATTTCCTACAAGTTCACAAATACGTATCTGGCCTTAGTTAATTACTGTGGGATATCCCAAAATGCTCTGCTTATCACTCCATCTCGCGCTCAGGCCAATTCCATTGTTTTAGCCAGCCAGCCGAGCACGTTGTTTCAACACAGAGCACATTGTTTTGGACCAGCCCTAATTAGCTATCTTATCAATGAGTAAGTACACCTCTTTAGCTGACATATTGTTGTTTGATGCTATAGAAGTACATTTGTCTGTGATGGTTTTTAGTGGCAAAGTTTAATTTTGTAGAAACTGTGTTAAGTATCGAATTACCATCTTGTAGCAGCCACTGTACTATAGTCAGTATAGGAACGCCGTGGAGAGGCTGTTTCATTGCTTACACATATTTTCATCAGCATAGTAGTAGTAGAATTGTAACCTAGTCAACATTTCTTTTCTCAATGGTTGTGTGAGCACAAAGAAGTGCATAATATTTAAATTGTGTTATGAGATTAACAAATTAAGTACGGGTTTTAGTTGTAGTGACTACTGTTATAGCTACCTATCCCATAAGCAGTTATCTCCCGTTGGTCATGCTGTACTGCATGAGACGCGAATTTCCCTTGTACTGTAATTATACACTTCTACTCCATTGTTTTTCTTTTGTTCCGTTTTGTTTACGTTTCAATCCTCCGTGCAAGCGAGGGACTTAAATAAGGCTCGAATCTCAGAGTTGTTTATAGAATTAGGCATTGATAAGTTGTTAAATACTAAGACTGTATTTGAATGGAATTGTCAGTTTTGCATATTGTATTGTAGTTATGTCCTACTAGGCCTGGAAGCCCATTCCAGTCGTTTACAGATGCAACAGAGGTAGTTGGGGGTAAGTCTATAAACCTCAACGGGTACATTGTCATTTGTTTGTCTATACTTTCTTCATGTTAGTTACTTTGTAATTAGTTAGATTATTTAGTATATAAACTGTTATAAAGGTGTTCAGACCCACTGGATCTGTTATTTTACTGGAAGTAACTGTGAGTGCTATTGGTACATTTGACATTGTATGTAAAAGATACTTTCTACCATGCAAATGTTTATATTGTACTTTTATGCATTGAGTTCATTGAAAAGAACTACACTGTGTGTATTACGATGATGAAATATAAATGTATGATAACTGATACTTTCAGCCATATATGATTATTATATACATGTGTAATATGCCGATACGATACAGCATTATCATCTATGAAAGGCCATACGTGATGTTACCAAGTATATTAAAAGTTTGTATATTATTGTTTAGGTCTACCATCTTCAGTATTAATAAAATACATGGACCCAGAGAACGAGTTTGTCCAGCTTTTACATGGTGTCAGAAGTGGGATGAAGACTCAAGGTGGACCCCCAGCTGCCAGATAAGTTCGATCGGTTTGAAGCACAGTCTGTGAATGCATCCCAGAAGAGCTGTTCAAGTCCAGGAACAGCGTTTCAAGTGTCTGATGTTCAGTGACTGCAACTGTGATATTTCCCACTGGTGTTGATGGTGAACTTTACTTGAACAGTGAAGATGAATATCATTATGTCCAAAGTTTAAGAAACTGTTGTTATTAGCCCTATCGACAGTTTTGTAATCTCATGTTACGTTAGGTTGCTCCTTAACATGTTGTAATAAGATAACTTACATTGCCTTGTTTACCTTAGCATTTTCAAAGGATTTCAGCATGCCGGGAGACACTGAAAATCCCAAGAGTCCCGAGGAGAAAGTGACTGAATTGGCTAACGAGCTGGAGCAGCTTCGAGCAAGGTTAAAGGACCAAGATGCCTGGATTCAGAATCAGGAAAAGGAAGCTCCAAAACCTGTCATGATGGTTTCAGGCAGACGTCTGGACAGATTCAGGGGACGGCCAGAATAATCAGGCGATCCGTCTCTCTCAGACTGGATTGCAGATGTCAGAAGCCATGCTAACGACAGGAAAATGACCAAGCAAGAGCTTGGAGCACATATTGTGGATAACTTGGCAGGAAAGGCCAGACAGGAGATTCTTGGTCGGGGAGATGACCTGAAGGACAACCCTGAGGAAATCCTGAAAATCCTGCTCAGGGTATTTGGAGATGGTGACCAACTTCCCATTCTCCAACAGAAGTTTTATTCCCTGCATCAAGGGGATGATGACATTGTCACCTGTTCCCTCAATATGGTTGAACTGTTCGATCGCATGGTTGAGTTGGACCCAACACTCAAAGTAAGAAGAACAGACAGCCTAAAGGGGCGCTTTGCAGAGACTGTTAACGAAGAAGGACTAAAGAGGGAACTGAGAAGATTAAACATGGAGATCCCAAGTTTGTCCTTCTTCGACTTTAGGGACAGGACTGTCAGTTGGCTAGGACAACCAAAGAAGCCAAAGTCTGTCCACTCCCAAGAAGCTGCTGCCACGAGAATAGAGGAAAACACAATCCACAAACAGCAAGCCATGATTGACCAGCAGCAAAAGCAAATTGACAGTCTACTTAAAGCTCTTGATGTAAACCAGTCAATAAGGCCTATGAAAGGGTACCAGCCAAAGCAACAAGTACAAGCACAAAATGATCGATGTTGTTGGATCTGCAGATCTCCGGATCACTTCAAGAGGGAATGCCCACGCTGGTGGTACAACAACAAGGAACACAAACCACAGGGAAATGCCTAGAGTCTGCAGTGGAGAGTCTCACAGCAGGCGAGGACGACAAAGGCTCATTCTAATTTAGAGCGGTGGGGAAATGTCCAGAAGTCATTGTAACATTGAATAACATTGAAACAAAATGCTTGGTTGATACTGGAGCACAAGTGTCAACAATCACGGAATCTTTTTTTCAGAAACACTTTCTGCTAGAGGATTTGTTGAGGGATGTTTCAAGCTACATTCATGTGAAGGCGGCTAATGGACTGGACAGCCCTATCCTGGGCTATGTGGAGTTCTCTTTACAAGTTTTTGGTATGAAATTAAGCACTCCTACAGAAAACTTCCCTAAAGACTGGCAGACCATTTTGGCCCTCTACGAAGAAGTCTGTGCAGAGAGAAAGAAAAATGATATAGGTAGAGTCAGGGTAGCGGGCAGAGCACCTGTACTAATTCCAGCACAATCCATCCACATCATTGAGGGGAGCTGTCAGCAGATTAAAGAGTCTTGTACAGCTATTGTGGAGGAACTTGATGCGGATTCATTTCCACTGCAGAAAGGTTTAGCAATCGGCCCATCATTTGTTAAAGTATCAAGCTCAGGTTGCATCCCAGTACAAGTCGTAAACTTCAGCAACAGTGACTTGTATCTCAAGCCAAGAACCCCAATAGCCACACTGAAGCATGCTTCTTTGGAGCCACAGTTCGAAATTGTCAACATCAGCAACAATGAAATTCAAGTCAGGAATGTCAAGGAAATATCCAGAAATCTCATTGAAAAGATGGATCTTGGAAAGAACATCAGTGACCAGTGTCACGAAAAGTTATTTTCCAACACCACAAAACTTTTAGCTCATGCGATGAAGACATCGGATTTTGTAATGCAGTTCAGCACAAGATCATAACCCTGGATGAAGTCCAAGTCAAGGCCCCTCATAGACAGATTCCACCCCAGCAATGGGAAGAAGTCCGGGAATATATCGTAAAAGCACTAGATACTGGCATCATAAGGGAATCTTCAAGTCCTTATGCATCACCAGTGGTTCTGGTCCGCAAGAGTAATGGAAAGCTGAGGATTTGCTGTGACTATCGTGCTTTAAATGCGAAAACACGCAAAGATGCGTATCCTCTGCCCAGGATTGAAGAAGCATTAGATGTTTTGAAGGGTGCTAAGTCCTTTTGCAGCCTGGACCTGGCGCATGGCTTCAACCAAATTCCAGTTGCTGAGGGAGACATCGAAAAGACTGCCTTCAGGATAGGTACTGGCGGACTTTATGAATATACCAGGATGCCCTTTGGACTAACCGGTGCACCAGCAACATTCATGCGCCTAATGGACAAGATCTTCGGGGACCAAAATTTTCAAACCCTCATTGTCTTCATGGATGATATCTTAGTATTCAGTTCAATGGAAGAAGAGGTCATTGAACGACTCGACAGGGTTTTGACCCAACTGGCATCTTACAATCTCAAAGTTCGCCCAGAAAAGTGCCAACTCTTCAAGGAGAAGCTGAGATACCTTGGGCACCAGATATCCCAGGAGGGCATTCTTCCAGACCCAGATAAAACCAAAGCTGTGTTGGATTGGGAAACTCCAAGAACTGAAACGGAAGTGAGAGTATTCTTAGGACTGGCAGGTTATTACAGGAGGTTTGTCCAGGATTTTGCAAAAATAGCTGCCCCACTTCATGCACTCCTGCAAGGTACCAACCCTAAGAGGCATGGAAGGAGGAGAAAATCGAACAAAGGACTTGGAATCAGTGCCTGGGATGCCTCCTGCGACAAAGCCTTCCAAGAGCTGAAGACAAAACTCACCACAGCACCAGTCTTAGGATTCCCCGACTTCACAAAACCATATATTTTGGAGGTGGACGCCAGCTTTATGGGATTAGGAGCAGTCCTGTCACAGGAACAAGACCAAGTGAAAGTTGTACTGAGTTATGCCAGCCGATCCCAATGAAAAGAACATGCAAAATTACAGCAGCATGAAGTCTGGTGCTAACAGACAATGACCCTCTCAGCTACATACAGACATCTGCAAAGCTTGGAGCTACAGAGATGAGATGGGATGGGGAGCCTGCACAATTTAACCTCACCATCCGCCATCGTTCTGGCAAAGAAAACAAGAATGCAGACTCCCTGAGTAGAAAATCTCATCATTCCCCAGAATCCGCTCGCTTAGAGGAAGTATTTATTCAGTCTCCATTCCTCAGAATGGAAACCTCCTCACAACTTCCGGGAGAGTTAAGGTCCTCTGCACAAGCTATCACAGAGATGGTGTGGGTAGAAGAATTCCAGACGACTGCAAAGAGACAGGTTCCTATGATGGTCACTCACATGCCTTCACTGTCACTGGAAGATATGTCAAAATTACAGATGGAGGATCCATACATTGGTAAATTTAGAAATTACTGGGACAAGGATAAAAAGCCATCTAATCGTCAACTCCTCCGAGAACACCCTAGGACCGGGCGATTGTTCAAGTACTGGAAGCAGATAGTGGAGGATAAAGATGTCCTGTACCGACAGATACAGACAAATGGAACAGTAATCAAGCAATTCTTACTACCAGATTGCTTGAAGACAAAGGTGTTGAAGTCGGTACATGATGACCATGGACATCAGTGTTCTTCAAGGACATTTTCCTTGTTGCAGAGTAGGTTTATGTGGCCATACATGTCAAAAGCTGTAAAGGACTACTGCACAAAATGCTACAGGTGCATGTTAGGAAAACATGGGGAGGTAGTCAAGCCAACCATTGGATCCATTGTTGCAAGGAAACCAATGGAAATCCTGGCAATCGATTTCACAGTCCTCGAACCAGGAAGAAACAAAGTTGAGAATGTGCTTGTCATGACAGATGTGTATACCAAGTTCACCCAAGCCATACCCCTGAGAGACCAGACAGCAAAGAGTGTTGCACGTACATTGGTCAAGGAATGGTTTGTGCACTATGGAGTTCCACTTCGGCTGCACAGCGACCAGGGTAGGAACTTCGAAAGTAGAGTCATTCACGAGCTGTGTAACATCTATGGCATCCTGAAAACTAAAACCACTCCTTACCATCCAGAAGGAAACGCCACATGTGAACGATTTAACCGAACACTGCACAATTTACTTCGAACCCTACCCTCAGAGAAGAAGAACCATTGGCCTGAACTACTACCAGAGCTCATGTATGCATACAACTCAACTCGCCATGCGACCACTGGATACTCACCTAACTATTTGTTCTTTGGCAGGGAACCTAGGGTTCCAATTGACATGTTGATTGGTGTAAGTGACAAAGAGCAAGAGGAATGGACTGCAGAACACCAGAAGAAACTGCAAGATGTTTACCGCATGGTATCTGAGAGAACAGAGCATGAAGCCTTAAAGAGAAGAAATAGAGTCAACAAAGATGCCGAGGACAAAGAAATCTCCATAGGAGCAAGAGTCTTCCTACGAAACCACCCCAAAGGCCGGAACAAGATTCAAGATGTATGGAGCCTGGCACCATACAAAGTAGTGGAAAAGAAAATGTTCAATCAATATGTCATTCAGACACTACAAGGGGAGGAAAATAGGAAAACTGTACACAGAAAGGAGCTTCTAGACTCAAGAACATTAGTAGAGGACATCCACAGAGAGTCTTCTCGGGAAGACAGTGTTACAACTGAATTACCTAATCGGGTGGAGCTGAGCAGCGAAGAAGACGATGATATTGGGAGTGAAAATGATTTCTATATCATCGGTGAAATTCCTGGTGTGGAAACAGTGGAAGCCGGGAACAAGGGCGGAAAAGTGCCACAGGACACAGATACTGCAGAATCTGTGGGTCCGGATGAAGCTTCAGCTGTGGAAGTTCTCAGTGAAGAAGACACACCAGTGGGACCTCAAGATGAGTCCGAGGGTACTGCTTCATATGAAGCAGGGGAGGAGAAGAGCACAACTTCATCCAAAGCGGGGGAGCTAGTGGCAGAACCTTCTGAGTTGGAGACAACACTGCCACGGAGGTCAACCAGGAGCACAGCTGGAAAACACCCTAATCCCCTTAATTTCCCGAGATCAGTCCTCCAACAATAACACGACGATGCAGTTGGATCCATCTGTGATTGCCGACATCACAAGGACCCAGTTACTTCTGGTTCAACTGCTGTCAAACTCCGTCCAGAAGTGATGAAAGACATCTGAGATGAAATTTCAGTTGACAAACAGTATTTACCAAAACAGTATTTCAATTGTGGTGCAATTTTATTACTGTTATATCCAAATATATTTTTCTATGTATATTTTTAAAGGAACATTATTTTGTATGTTAGTTTGAGATTCACAATGTCCTTGCAGTGTATCATGTTGTCATAAGGTATCTGGTCTTGATACTGATAGATGAGTACCACAATGTCTTTGACGAAATACCTTTTCTCGGGACCATCTTGTGTATATCATGGTAGAAAAGAAGTTAGTTTTGTTTAGCGTCTAGTTGCCAGGAGTCAACTAGGAAGCAGGGGAGTGTAAAGTAGCTATCAGACACGCACTTTTGCTTACATTATCTTCGGCAGTTTCCGACTGTGCTCGGAAATGTTTGTAAGCATTCCTGATTAAGAAGTTATTTTATATGTCACATTAATGTAACCATATCCTTTTAAGATTTGTTTATTTCCTACAAGTTCACAAATACGTATCTGGCCTTAGTTAATTACTGTGGGATATCCCAAAATGCTCTGCTTATCACTCCATCTCGCGCTCAGGCCAATTCCATTGTTTTAGCCAGCCAGCCGAGCACGTTGTTTCAACACAGAGCACATTGTTTTGGACCAGCCCTAATTAGCTATCTTATCAATGAGTAAGTACACCCCTTTAGCTGACATATTGTTGTTTGATGCTATAGAAGTACATTTGTCTGTGATGGTTTTTAGTGGCAAAGTTTAATTTTGTAGAAACTGTGTTTAGTATCGAATTACCATCTTGTAGCAGCCACTGTACTATAGTCAGTATAGGAACGCAGTGGAGAGGCTGTTTCATTGCTTACACATATTTTCATCAGCATAGTAGTAGTAGAATTGTAACCTAGTCAACATTTCTTTTCTCAATGGTTGTGTGAGCACAAAGAAGTGCATAATATTTAAATTGTGTTATGAGATTAACAAATTAAGTACGGGTTTTAGTTGTAGTGACTACTGTTATAGCTACCTATCCCATAAGCAGTTATCTCCCGTTGGTCATGCTGTACTGCATGAGACGCGAATTTCCCTTGTACTGTAATTATACACTTCTACTCCATTGTTTTTCTTTTGTTCCGTTTTGTTTACGTTTCAATGCCACGTGCAAGCGAGGGACTTAAATAAGGCTCGAATCTCAGAGTGGTTTATAGAATTAGGCATTGATAAGTTGTTAAATACTAAGACTGTATTTGAATGGAATTGTCAGTTTTGCATATTGTATTGTAGTTATGTCCTACTAGGCCTGGAAGCCCATTCCAGTCGTTTACAGATGCAACAGAGGTAGTTGGGGGTAAGTCTATAAACCTCAACGGGTACATTGTCATTTGTTTGTCTATACTTTCTTCATGTTAGTTACTTGGTAATTAGTAAGATTATTTAGTATATAAACTGTTATAAAGGTGTTCAGACCCACTGGATCTGTTTTTTTACTGGAAGTAACTGTGAGTGCTATTGGTACATTTGACATTGTATGTAAAAGATACTTTCTACCATGCAAATGTTTATATTGTACTTTTATGCATTGAGTTCATTGAAAAGAACTACACTGTGTGTATTACTATGATGAAATATAAATGTATGATAACTGATACTTTCAGCCATATATGATTATTATATACATGTGTAATATGCCGATACGATACAGCATTATCATCTATGAAAGGCCATACATGATGTTACCAAGTATATTAAAAGTTTGTATATTATTGTTTAGGTCTACCATCTTCAGTATTAATAAAATACATGGACCCAGAGAACGACTTTGTCCAGCTTTTACATTAGTGTGAAAGATTTTTCCGAAGTTGAGAAAAGTTATATTGCCCTGTAGTGAACATACCACTTGATATTTCACTGCAGTGAACATAATACTTGATATTTCATTGGTGTGAAAATAACACTTTGACGGGACTATAGTCATAGAAGAGTTGACTTCCCTCAAATTGTCTCCCTTTATACTATGCGTCTGTTGACTGTTGACTTCCTTTTTACGTTAGTTCCACATTGTCAAGGTAAAATAATGTCAGACGGCCAGACTTAATATTGCTACATGCTGTTTGTTATTCTCTTGAAAATGTTTCGTTATAAACTATAAATTTCTCATTTAACTTGTCAATCGAGTCTGTTCGTTTTGCAAAGCGCCATTTTTGTTACTTGACCAGCGTATATTCTTTCACTTCTAACAGCTGTCTCCTTGTTTCTTCAAGATTAGTTTAAAGTTAATTTTGTACATTATCATATCTATATGTATGATACAGAATTTTCGTTACCCTAATATTTTTGCTACTTTTGTTTATATTTTTTTCAAGGTTTTACATTTGTAATTAATTATTTTAGTTTTCCGGTACACAACTAATCAAAAAGTATATTATAAATAGGATTTTCAACGTGTCTCGTGAAATATCATGTTTCTCTCATCTAATGACGGGGGGGGGGGGGGGGGGGGGGGGGGGGAAAACATGATATTTCACTCGACACGTGAAATATCCTCTATATATCGCACTTCACAGTTATAATGTCACTATTGTGACGCCACTCAGTGTGTCGTCACAGTCGACTACAGAAAAAAGGGTGAAAAATCTTAATTGGTTCAAGGCTCAAAATGCACGTCGTCAACTTGCGATATAGTGATATGAGATTGTATGCATCTATGACCTGTTGTTGTCAATGTTAATCTGCTGCTTATCATACCATGCATATCTACCTCTCATCACTTGGTTGTTGCCAATGTTAATCTGCTGCTTATCATACCATGCATATCTACCTCTCATCACTTGGTTGTTGTCAATATTAATCTGCTGCTTATCATACCATGCATATCTACCTCTCATCACTTGGTTGTTGTCAATATTAATCTGCTGCTTATCATACCATGCATATCTACCTCTCATTACTTGGTTGTTGTCAATGTTAATCTGCTGCTTATCATAACATGCATATCTACCTCTCATCACTTGGTTGTTGTCAATGTTAATCTGCTGCTTATCATACCATGCATATCTACCTCTCATCACTTGGTTGTTGTCAATGTTAATCTGCTGCTTATCATACCATGCATATCTACCTCTCATCACTTGGTTGTTGTCAATGTTAATCTGCTGCTTATCATACCATGCATATCTACCTCTCATCACTTGGTTGTTGTCAATGTTAATCTGCTGCTTATCATACCATGCATATCTACCTCTCATCACTTGGTTGTTGTCAATGTTAATCTGCTGCTTATCATACCATGCATATCTACTTCTCATCACTTGGTTGTTGTCAATGTTAATCTGCTGCTTATCATACCATGCATATCAACCTCTCATCACTTGGTTGTTGTCAATGTTAATCTGCTGCTTATCATACCATGCATATCAACCTCCCATCACTTGGTTGTTGTCAATGTTAATCTGCTGCTTATCATAACATGCATATCTACCTCTCATCACTTGGTTGTTGTCAATGTTAATCTGCTGCTTATCATACCATGCATATCAACCTCCCATCACTTGGTTGTTGTCAATGTTAATCTGTTGCTTATCATACCACGCATATCTACCTCTCATCACTTGGTTGTTGTCAATGTTAATCTGCTGCTTATCATACCATGCATATCTACCTCTCATCACTTGGTTGTTGTCAATGTTAATCTGCTGCTTATCATACCATGCATATCTACCTCTCATCACTTGGTTGTTGTCAATGTTAATCTGCTGCTTATCATACCATGCATATCTACCTCTCATCACTTGGTTGTTGTCAATGTTAATCTGCTGCTTATCATACCATGCATATCTACTTCTCATCACTTGGTTGTTGTCAATGTTAATCTGTTGCTTATCATACCACGCATATCTACCTCTCATCACTTAGTTGTTGTCAATGTTAATCTGTTGCTTATCATACCACGCATATCTACCTCTCATCACTTGGTTGTTGTCAATGTTAATCTGCTGCTTATCATACCATGCATATCTACCTCTCATCACTTGGTTGTTGTCAATGTTAATCTGCTGCTTATCATACCATGCATATCTACCTCTCATCACTTGGTTGTTGTCAATGTTAATCTGCTGCTTATCATACCATGCATATCTACCTCTCATCACTTGGTTGTTGTCAATGTTAATCTGCTGCTTATCATACCATGCATATCTACTTCTCATCACTTGGTTGTTGTCAATGTTAATCTGCTGCTTATCATACCATGCATATCTACCTCTCATCACTTGGTTGTTGTCAATGTTAATCTGCTGCTTATCATACCATGCATATCTACCTCTCATCACTTGGTTGTTGTCAATGTTAATCTGCTGCTTATCATACCATGCATATCTACCTCTCATCACTTGGTTGTTGTCAATGTTAATCTGCTGCTTATCATACCATGCATATCTATCTCTCATCACTTGGTTGTTGTCACTCCAGCTTGGTAACGGTGAAAGAATCGACATCGGAACGTCGCTATATGCAAATACACCAGAAGTTGTTATCCATAAAGTTTAACGTTTCCTTTCTGGCTCACCAACTTCTAGAATGCGAATCAAACAGTTAAATGTCAAGCTCTTGATACAATCCGTAGAATATACATATATCAGAAAAATGTTATTTAGGGTCTAATCTTTGTAAACTCAAACAACTAATTTGTACAACGAAAATACCTGAATGAAGAATTTGTTTCCAATGTTTGTTTGTTTGTTGTATAACTCCGCACTCAGCGATATTTTAGCTATATGACGACAGTCTGTATATAATCGGGCCTGGACCTGACAATCCAGTGATTGACATCATGAGCATCGATTCACGCAAACGATGACATGAATCAACCAAGTCAGCGAGCCTGACCACCCGATCCCGTTAGTCGCCTCTTATGACAAGCATGGGTTGCTGAAGACTTATTTCCAATGTCTACACCTACTTTAGAAATAATACTTCAATGTCAGAATGATCACTTTTGTTGAACATATATTTGTTTGTAAAATACGCTTTTGTACCACCGTGAATTGAAGTGAATTGTAGCCATAACGGCTATGTTAATGGTTGTGTGCAGGGAGGTGTTGGCACTGAACACACGTCCTCGGAGACATGAGCCTATAAGCAGGGTACAGATTGAAGCGTGTGAGTGACTGTTGTGTACAGGGAGGTGTTGGCATGGAACACACGTCCTCGGAGACATGAGCCTGTTAGCAGGGTACAGATTGAAGCGATTGAGTGACTGTTGCTTTACGCCGCATCAGCAAGTTTGCAGCTAACCGCCGAGCTACGCATTCTATCTCATTGGATAGCATGAATATAATGGCGGAATGCGTTGCGCGTGACGTTGTCTATGCATTAATACCCTCGTTACGTTGTAGATGCATGAATACCCTCGTTACGTTGTAAATGCATGAATACCCTCGTTACGTTGCAGATGCATAAATACCCTCGTTACGTTGTAGATGCATGAATATCCTCGTTACGTTGTAGATGCATTAATACCCTCGTTACGTTGTAGATGCATGAATACCTTCGTTACGTTGTAGATGCATGAATACCTTCGTTACGTTGTAGATGCATGAATACCCTCGTTACGTTGTAGATGCATGAATACCCTCGTTACGTTGTAGATGCATGAATACCTTCGTTACGTTGTAGATGCATGAATACCTTCGTTACGTTGTAGATGCATGAATACCTTCGTTACGTTGCAGATGCATGAATACCCTCGTTACGTTGTAGATGCATGAATACCCTCGTTACGTTGAAGATGCATGAATACCCTCGTTACGTTGTAGATGCATGGATACCCTCGTTACGTTGTAGATGCATGAATACCCTCGTTACGTTGTAGATGCATAGATACCCTCGTTACGTTGTAGATGCATGAATACCTTCGTTACGTTGTAGATGCCCGAAAACCTTCGTTACTTTGTAGATGCATGAATACCCTCGTTACGTTGTAGATGCATGAATACCTTCGTTACGTTGTAGATACATGAATACCCTCGTGACGCTGTAGATGCATGAATACCCTCGTTACGTTGTAGATGCATGAATACCCTCGTTACGTTGTAGATGCATGAATACCCTCGTTACGTTGTAGATGCATGAATACCTTCGTTACGTTGTAGATGCATGAATACCTTCGTTATTTTCTAGGTGCATGAATACCTTTGGTATTTTCTAGGTGCATGAATACCCTTGTTATTTTCTAGGTGCATGAATACCCTCGTTACTTTCTAGGTGCATGAATACCCTCGTTATTTCATAGGTTCATGAATACCCTCGTTACTTTGTAGATGCATGAATACCCTCGGTATTTTCTAGGTGCATGAATACCTTCGGTATTTTCTAAGTGCATGAATACCTTCGTTACGTTGTACATACATGAATACCTTCTTTACGTTGTAGATACATGAATACCTTCGTGACGTTGTAGATACATGAATACCCTCGTTACGTTGTAGATGCATGAATACCCTCGTTATTTTCTAGGTGCATGAATACCTTCGGTATTTTCTAAGTGCATGAATACCCTCGTTACGTTGTAGATACATGAATACCTTCGTTACGTTGTAGATACATGAATACCCTCGTGACGCTGTAGATGCATGAATACCCTCGTTACGTTGTAGATGCATGAATACCCTCGTTACGTTGTAGATGCATGAATACCCTCGTTACGTTGTAGATGCATGAATACCCTCGTTACGTTGTAGATGCATGAATACCTTCGTTACGTTGTAGATGCATGAATACCTTCGTTACGTTGTAGATGCATGAATACCCTCGTTACGTTGTAGATGCATGAATACCCTCGTTACGTTGTAGATGCATGAATACCTTCGTTACGTTGTAGATGCATGAATACCCTCGTTACGTTGTAGATGCATGAATACCTTCGTTACGTTGCAGATGCATGAATACCCTCGTTACGTTGTAGATGCATGAATACCCTCGTTACGTTGTAGATGCATGGATACCCTCGTTACGTTGTAGATGCATGAATACCCTCGTTACGTTGTAGATGCATGGATACCCTCGTTATGTTGTAGATGCATGGATACCCTCGTTACGTTGTAGATGCATGGATACTCTCGTTACGTTGTAGATGCATGAATACCCTCGTTACGTTGTAGATGCCCGAAAACTTTCGTTACGTTGTAGATGCATGAATACCCTCGTTACGTTGTAGATGCATGAATACCTTCGTTACGTTGTAGATGCATGAATACCTTCGTTACGTTGTAGATGCATGAATACCTTCGTTATTTTCTAGGTGCATGAATACCTTTGGTATTTTCTAGGTGCATGAATACCCTTGTTATTTTCTAGGTGCATGAATACCCTCGTTATTTTCTAGGTGCATGAATACCCTCGTTATTTCATAGGTTCATGAATACCCTCGTTACTTTGTAGATGCATGAATACCCTCGGTATTTTCTAGGTGCATGAATACCTTCGGTATTTTCTAAGTGCATGAATACATTCGTTACGTTGTAGATACATGAATACCTTCGTTACGTTGTAGATACATGAATACCTTCGTTACGTTGTAGATGCATGAATACTTTCGTGACGTTGTAGATACATGAATACCCTCGTTACGTTGTAGATGCATGAATACCCTCGTTATTTTCTAGGTGCATGAATACCTTCGGTATTTTCTAAGTGCATGAATACCCTCGTTACGTTGTAGATACATGAATACCCTCGTGACGCTGTAGATGCATGAATACCCTCGTTATGTTGTAGATGCATGAATACCCTCGTTACGTTGTAGATGCATGAATACCCTCGTTACGTTGTAGATGCATGAATACCCTCGTTACGTTGTAGATGCATGAATACCCTCGTTACGTTGTAGATGCATGAATACCCTCGTTACGTTGTAGATGCATTAACACCCTCGTTACGTTGTAGATGTATTTCATCCTAGACATGTTTATGTTGCAGATATCATGAATGTGGAGGAGGAACACCAGTTTCGAAGAACGATCGGCAGATGGCGCTTCACTGCCGTCGTATTTATACTGATTTCATTGGTACTTTCAATATTCCTTGTTGCCATGGCGATATTCACCCACAGGACGCCGACCACGGTCCCTATGGATGTTTGTGGTGACCCTGACACGAAAGATATTGACGTCACTGAAGCAGACGACCCCGGTATCTTCGATGATCTTACTAGTAAAGAACTCGCCTCTATTCAGAAGTACATATATTCCGTGCAGGAACTCAACCTTTCGCAGCCCTCTGGGGCAGGACTGGCCAGGAGCGTCGTCCACTCAGTAGAGCTGCACATTCCTAACAAAGAGTATGTATTACGATATTTAGACGAGAATGCGGCCAAACCCGAAAGAGAAGCATTAGTGCTTATATTCAGGGGAGATAAATCACCTCCAGTTGTCGAGGAATATATCGTCGGAGCACTTCCCATTCCATCCTATGTAGGACTTCGCGATTCCCCGAACAGGCCAAATCCGATACCCTTCAGTCAGAGACCCATGGGCAGCAATGAATACTCTGTCATATATGGTCAAATGTTTCCTAAACTCGGATATAAGCTGAAGAAGGTTTTAGAAGAGAGCTACGGGGCAGGGCTTCACTTTCCTGAATGCGGTGAGAAGTGTCTCAGCTACTACCCTGTTCCTGTTGGGTCAGGAGTTGTAGGAGCAGACGACAGGAAGGTCTGGATCGTCCTCGCGCACTTTGCAGAATACTTTACACTCCATCCTGTAGGACTGTCCTTCCTCATCAACATGTCGAATCCATTTGAATATCTTGTCGAACTTGTTGATTACGGTGGCCAGAGATTCCATTCCATTGACGAGTTCATTTCAAAGTATAATTTAGGGGAGGTAACTAAACACAAAAAGCCTTTCCCGGACATTACACGAGGCTCGTTTTCGACCCTCCATAGACGAGGAGAACCGGTTCCTGAGTTGCCTAAGAGACCGCCAAAATTCTACGAACCCGACGGCAAGAGGTACAGCATCGCCCATCGCCACGTGGAATACATGCAGTGGCAGTTTGATTTCAGGATGTCCCCTCAGTCGGGGTCTCAGTTGTACGACATCCGGTTCCTTGACGAACGGATTGCATATGAGATAAGCCTGCAGGAGATAGCCGTGTTTTATTCCGGGAATGCTGGTCACAGGTTTGCCGACTTCACGGACAGTGCGGAGGGAATAGGTAGACACACTCACGCTCTGGTTCCTGGGGTCGACTGTCCGGATACCAGTACCTTCGTGGATGGATACGTGTTGTCGGAGTCAACAAAGTCACCAAAAAGGCTTCCTCGGATGTTTTGCATCTTTGAAGAAAACACAGCTTTCCCTCTACATCGTCATCAGTCGTATTACTCCTACGATGGGCAGTTCTACCACGGGTTAGTGGACTCCGCTCTAGTCCTGCGATCTGTGGCGGTTATTGGTAACTATGACTACATAGTAGACTATGTGTTTCATCAAAATGGCGCCCTGCACATTAGAGCAGCAGCAACCGGTTATATTTTCACTTCATTCTACACGCCTGCCGAGGAAGGTTACGGCTTTAGGCTTGAAGACTCTATATCTGGTAATATTCACCACCATATGATTAACTTCAAGATTGACCTTGACATTCATGGCACCAGTAACAGATATGAAACTCTGGACATTCACGCGGTGGAGGTGTCCAATGACGTCACAACCACAAACACCACCTACTGGCAGACCAAGTTTGAGAGGAATTTGAAAGAATCGGAGTTTGGAGCAGCTTTTCAATATGACTTCCAGGTACCGAAGTATCACGTGATTCACAGCGCTGGAGTGAAAACACGACAAGGAGAAATAAGCGGATACAGGTAACTGAACTGTCAAGGAAACGAAATTATACACTTGAAAAGTGGATTCGACTGATCATTATTTTATCAAAATGCTGAAAACAGCCGCCGAAACACTTCAAACTTCAGGTCAACAACTTTATCTCATTAAAATAAAATTGTAGTTCTCGCTGCCGCTGAACAAAGATCCTGAGGACATCCCATATGGGTCTCGTGAGAAGGACCTTTATCCGACTAATCAGAGCGTCGTTACCAGATCGGGAAAGTGTCAGTCGGAATGTGTTTTCTCATCGTGCAAACTGTTTTCTTAACAGTTACGGGCTGTCCGACTGATTCCATCGAAATAATCTCTCACTTCAATGGGATAAATATTTGAAACGAAAACGACTTCCCATAGCCCTGGGGAAGTACCACCATGCAATCTCAGCCATCAAATAGACATTCCTGAATGTCCTTTTGTTCATTTTTCAAATTTTGAATCGAGAACTTTATCAACATATTTTTCAAAGCGAAGTCTGGAATTGAGGTCGCCAGTTGGAAACTAGTGCTGTGAAGCTCGAGAAAGCTGCTTTCTGATTGTCGACTTCTTGACCAAAGTCTCGGCCAAAGTTTGCGAACGGAATGTCCTCAGATCTTCGTTTTAGTGGTAGCGAGAACTAAGATCTGATTCTAATGAGATTGATGCGAACTCATCTGAGGGAGTCGACTTAACATCTGATGCAGCCTCCATGCGCTGATATGCTAAAGGGGGCGGTCGGGTAGCCTAGTGGTTAAAGCGTTCGCTCGTCACGCCGAGGACCCGGGTTCGATTCCCGAGAAGGGTACAATGTGTGAAGCCCATTTCTGGTGCCCCCCGCCGTGATATTGCTGGAATATTGCTAAAAGCGGCGTAAAACCAAACTCACTCACTGATATGCAAAAGTGATGTCCATTTTATTATCCGAATTTTGTTTGTGCGGCAACTATTTTCGTTAACTACAACACATTATTAGGATTCATTGGTATCCAGAGAGGACTGTCGTTGTCGTCAGACTTTCAGTGGTCCATCTATCGTTGAGATAAACGTCACTACATGGTGCGAGGTCCATCTATCGTTGAGATTAACGTCACTACATGGTGCGAGGTCCATCTATCGTTGAGATTAACGTCACTACATGGTGCGAGGTCCATCTATCGTTGAGATTAACGTCACTACATGGTGCGAGGTCCATCTATCGTTGAGATTAACGTCACGACATGGTGCGAGGTCCATCTATCGTTGAGATTAACGTCACTACATTGTGCGGGGTCTATCTATCGTTGAGATTAACGTCACTACATGGTGCGAGGTCCATCTATCGTTGAGATTAACGTCACTACATGGTGCGGGGTCTATCTATCGTTGAGATTAACGTCACTACATGATGCGAGGTCCATCTATCGTTGAGATTAACGTCACTACATGGTGCGAGGTCCATACGTGTAGATTCATATAGTATTCCGTATTTCAGCTTAGGAGTGAGTGAGTGAGTGAGTTGGGTTTAACACACGCATACTCTCTCATGGTAGGAATGCTTTACTTGCAGCCTTCACCTTCAGGGAATGTCCTACCAACCTCTTCCAGAAAACAGTGGAAACGAGGCTACAGCCTCGTGGTCAAGGTATCAACTTGCAGCAACCAAGTTCAAGGACTGGGAGAGAATGAGCAGCTCCTGCTATGGGATGTTCGACTCGTTGGATCCAGTTGTTAACTTTACCAATTTCTTGGCCGACAACGAAAGCATTGTGGATGAGGTAAGGACATGACCCTGCGGCCACAGCGGTCGGGATGACAGGGTTGGATGCCCCTGTCAGTTTAATATAACCTCCAAGGGTTAACAATTGCGTCCGTTACACGCACTTTAGGCTGCTGACACCCTTATTTACACTTGTCATTCTGTCGTTTCAGGATCTGGTTTTATGGGCATCAGTTGGGATCCACCACATCCCCCACACAGAGGATCTGCCGGTTACGCCCACAGTCGGCGGCCATCTTGGAATATACTTGCTTCCTTTCAACTACTTTCAGGAGAGTCCATCTATGGCATCACGTGACTCCGTCAGATTAGAACTGAAGGAGAAATTCAATATGGCGTCAGGTGTCAGCGTTGAAGGATACAAGAGCGAGTCCACGTGCCTACCGAGATTAACCGATCTTGACGAAGAATTTGGGGACAATGCAGAGGAAGTGTTTGCTTGATGGAAGTGCTGCGAATAGTCATGATCACAACGTAGTTTTGAAGTGAACATAAAGTTTGTTTGTGGAAGTATACCTTTCTGTCTTATACTTATATTACACGTGTGGTAGCTAAATTGATGATATATTGCAGAAATAATCTTTAATTCTTAACACACTCGGTCACTTAAACGTTTGTGACAATCAAACTATATATCCAGCTGATAATCAAGAAAACAGTTTATATCAGCATACAGTATGGGCTGTTTTTTCAATCACGAGAGTCACGACCTTGGATTTACACATGATGTGTGGCTTCAAGCATGCTTATGACGTGTTTGACGTTGAGGGGGAATAAGTGCATTCAGTTGTAAAGTAAAATAGTACATGTCGTTGTGCTCTCTGATAATGATGTGCAACCATTCTGCCACGGCACATCCAAACATGATTTCAAACACCTCGTGCACATCGTGCCCACGACTGCACGCCTCTGTCCGTTCATCATGAACATGAGGTCCTATAGGGGCCACCCAATCATTGTGTGCCAGGATGTCAGTCTATATATGTTGGATATGTTTTTGATACCATCAAAACGTGATCCTCAGCAAACTGAGTAGTATAGTCATTGACATTCTCAGCAGGAAACTGGAGTGGCTCACTTTTATAAAAGGATGTTTGTCTGTTGGACTGCGCAATTCCTGACAAACATAACATAGCCGGAAAATCAAATGCAACTTAAATTGCTCCATATGAATTAAAACATTTTACTGTAGATGATTAATTAATGATCCCCATAATAAATCAATTTCTATTCCCCCTGACAGTTAATGCTAAATAGTTTTTGCTTGAATAACCACACTGTAACACAGTCTACCCCTCCTGTGCTATTACGTATTTGCTTCATAGATGGAGCCTGGAGCCTAGCTGGAGCCTCACACTTAGACATGCAGGTTGCCGGATATATCGTCGGACTATAAGCTTTATTAAAACATATATTTATCTGCACTTTATTTGCATGAAGTGATTGGTAGATTGTTGGGCGAATATAACTTATAAAAAAAGACTATTGTCCCTGTGAACAACGCATAAATAAGGATATTCATTCTAGCATTATCATCGTTCACCAAACCTTATCCTGCCATCTTCTAATCTTGATTATTCAGAGTGTTTTACAAGTCTTTTAATACTGAAAATACGGCTTTCTAATGTTAAAACATGAGTTTTAACGTGGCCCAAACCCGCACTCTTATGCCTCTGGCCGTCCACGTACATATAATAAACAGATATGTTGACTTCCATGTCAAGAAATGTATTGTTTCATAGTGTATACATATTGACTTCTGTTTGTTTGTCTGCCAAAATTACAGTCCGTGAACAAATCAGATTGTATATATATATATATATTAGCTCAATATGGGTAATCAAACGAAGGGACCCTGTAACGTCGATACGAAGAATATGTGCTTGTTATCGATAAAAAGTGTCACGTATTCATCATCTGTCATGTTTTGTTTCGAATATACACGTCGGAAGTAGACGGGTTAGGAGTTTCAATATTATTTGAATCTGCCCCGCCCTAGCATCTCAAGATGGCGGAGCTGGGACTCCCGCCAAGGGGCGTGTCAAGGTTGTAGCTATCTGTCTGCCCCATCCCCCAGCAATACAACAGGGCGGAGCTGGGCCTACCGTCAAGGGGCGTGTCAAGGCTGTTGCCATCTGTCTGTCCCATCCCCCCAGCAATACAAGAAGGCGGAGCTGGGACTACCGTCAAGGGGCGTGTCAAGGCTCTAGCCACCAGTCTACCCCACCCTCAGCATTACAACCGGGCGAAGTCCTCAATCTTTAAAGAAAGTCTTGCCTCATTTGAATAGCAGTTCCGTGAATGGACTGTAAGACCTTATTCATAATTATGACAGTCCAAAACTAGAAATGTAAATTAAAGTGTGTGCAAGAAAATAAGATAAACTCAAACCATGAACACTGTATAGAAAGATACATTAACTATGTATGCGAACCAGTCAAGTCTAGAGTACATCCAATTGGCCTATGAAATACCGCCCCCTTACCTTGACTAACCAGTGACTAGCATAGAATGGGACAATGCTCTTGTGGGGGAAAGGGACACAACCCATCTTCTCGAGGTAAGGGAGTAACATGACTATGAAAGCCCTGTATCCACCCTTGCCGAACTAGGCTGGAATTTCCAGGCTCGATCGTAGCGCCACCAGTGTCTGTTACGAGTTATATCCCTTCCATGTCCCTACCCATTGACCAATCAGATTTCACCTCTCATTTCACTTGCATTTGCTTTAAACAAAATGGTGGCACCCAGGCAAGACGGTCTGATCGATAGTCAAGATCTATCTTGTAAGAAAACGGGTCTTACCCCGTAAAGTGCATCAAATCATCTGAGCACCTTGATTAAAAACGTGAAAACATTTGGAAAATATCTGTCGACGTCTATATCGGCAAGGGTGAAAATAGTCAGTTAACTCCCTTGCCTCGGGAAGATGGCTTCAGCCCAGAAGAAGACGAATGTTTTTGAGGAAGGGGACGTCAGAGGTTGGATAAAAGGAGGGGTTGGGGCAGGGGATTTGGGCGAGGTGTGAGGATGTATAAGCTATAAACTTTCCTTGTGACATAGAGAGGCGGCACTCGGGAACGCGGCACGCAGAACTTAGGGAACTTGCTGCCCATAGGCCCTCCCCTACATCTAGTAGTCTGAGTCTCTCCTTCAATGCCCGCCTGTCGCTAGAAACAGCAGCTTATCTTTGTAATCAGTCGAAAAGATGTTCATTGGTCTGTCATCCATCCAATTCCTACCACCCCCCATCCCCTAACCCCGACACCACCTCAACCCCCCCCCACCCATCTCCCCCCCACCCTCCACCCCCCACCCCACCCCACCCCCCGACGACAAGCTACGACTGTGTTGTGTAACCATCAGTCTGGCTTTACGTTGTTCATGGGAGTAATCTACAATCGGGCCGGCCTTTATCAACAGTGTAAACATCCTTATCAAAAATATTAATGCCAAAATAAGGAATGAACACTGCTGGCCCTATTCAAAGTGATGACTCTAATCTTAATGTCAATAAACACCTCTCTCACCCAAAGTACTCCCCAACCCCATCTCCCACCCCTCACCCTTCTTTAACCTTACCAATCTCATATCCATCAGCATCAACAAGTGTCCCCCAAAGCCCTGGTGGGGGGTGGAGGGATATGCTCCCTGTCTGGTCTGCGAATCACGCGAAAGGGTTCCCACACAAGGGTAAACACTCCCCCGCCCCAGAGCGGCGTGCCGGGAGGAGCCTGTGGGTACAGGCACTGACCCGCTACCACAACAGCCTCAGTCTGGCCATGACCTACATAGCAGCTGTGGGTGTCGTTCCAAGGGGAGCGTCGTGGTTGTGAATCTGTCTGCTGTGTTTGTTGAACACCAGGTAAGATTGCACTCTGCTTCAGAGGAATATGCAATATTATGTGGAGTTTAGACCTCCAATGAGTTCACTGTTATTCGCATGCTGTCAATCAGCGCCTGAGATTGCCAGTGTCAAAACAGTTTACATGTTTATGAAGTCATAGCATTAGCATGGGAAAGTTGTGTCGCAGTTCCCCTACAAGAAATGGTGTTAATCAAGGAAGGTAGTTTTCTCCCAGTCGTATCGGTGTACTTGTCATGCCCTGTGAAGTGTCTTGTGACATCTGCTTATTTTCACACCAATATCGAATAACCAGTTTAGTTGTAAGCATCGGCTGTGTCAGGAAACACCAGTGTCTAAATCGGGTGAAACGACCAACTGCAATGTGCCTTGATCGGATTAACACATGGAGTAATGTTTCACTTATAACACAGGGAGCAGCATTTCAATCATAACACACGGAGCAGTTTTATAGTTATAACACACGGAGCAGTAATTCATGTATAACGCACGGAGCAGTATTTCAGTTATAACACACGGAGCAGTAATTCATGTATAACGCACGGATCAGTAATTCAGATATAACACACGGAGCAGTATTTCAGTTATAACACACGGAGCAGTATTTCAGTTATAACACACGGAGCAGTACTTCAGTTTTTAACACACGGAGCAGTATTTCAGTTATTATACACGGAGCAGTAATTCATGTATAACGCACGGATCAGTAATTCAGATATAACACACGGAGCAGTATTTCAGTTATAACGCACGGAGCAGTATTTCAGTTGTAACACACGGATCAATGTTTCAGTTATATCACAATGTACAGTAGAACATGGATATAACGAACTACAAGGGACCAGAGAAATCAGTTCGTTATATCCGTTGTTCGTTATATACGTTTTCGCTCGGAAACGTCCGCCATCTTGGATAAAACACGTAATTGCCGCATTGATTTGTATTAGCAGTGATCATTTCATAGCATTCAATTGATAACATTTTATAACATTCAATTAATAACATTAAATTCATAACATTTTTCGAACATTGTCATGAAATTCTTCTTACTTTTGCCCGCCATGATAGCATATGCAAGTGAACTGACACTTGGACACAATCTCGTAAAATTTATATGTTTAATGTTTGTTTTACAGAGAAGATTACATGTACAGGTAAGATTAACACAATGCAAGTTTAGCAAGGTTGATCAAGGTTGTATTCACATTGCTGGCTTCTCACTGGGCTGACCCCTGACCTTTGACCCAATCCCCATGCCCCCTCCCCGCCGCCATCAATCCGACTTTACGGATCATCCAGCGTATTTAACAGGTCAGCCTGTTGGAAGAATGGGTTCGGGTGGTGGTGTGGGTGTGGTGTGGGTGTGGTGTAGTTGAAAGTGTAGGCGGTATGGTTGGTGTGGGTGGTTGTGTAGGTGGTGGTGTGGGTGTAGGTGTGGGTGTGGTGTAGTTGATAGTGTAGGTGGTGTGGGTGGTGTGGGTGGTGGTGTGGTTGGTGGTTTAGGATGCCGTGGGTGGTGATGTGGGTGTGGTGTAGTTGATAGTGTAGGTGGTGGTGTGGGTGTGGTGTAGTTGTTAGTGTAGGTGGTGTGGGTGGTGGTGTGGGTGTTGGTGTGGGTGTAGTACGTGGTGGTGTGGGTGGTGGTGTGGGTGTGATGTAGTTGACAGTGTAGATTGTGTGGGTGGTGGTGTGGGTGGTGGTGTGGGTGTGTTGTAGTTGATAGTGTAGGTGGTGTGGGTGTTGGTGTGGGTGGTGGTGTGGGTGTGTTGTAGTTGATAGTGTAGGTGGTGTGGGTGGTGGTGTGGGTGTTGGTGTGGGTGTTGGTGTGGGTGTAGTACGTGGTGGTGTGGGTGGTGGTGTGGGTGTGTTGTAGTTGATAGTGTAGGTGGTGTGGGTGGTGGTGTGGGTGGTGGTGTGGGTGGTGGTGTGGGTGTGATGTAGTTGATAGTGTAGGTGGTGTGGGTGGTGGTGTGGGTGTTGTGTAGTTGATAGTGTAGGTGGTGTGGGTGTTGGTGTGGGTGTTGGTGTGGGTGTAGTACGTGGTGGTGTGGGTGGTGGTGTGGGTGTTGTGTAGTTGATAGTGTAGATTGTGTGGGTGGTGGTGTTGGTGGTGGTGTGGGTGTGTTGTAGTTGATAGTGTAGGTGGTGTGGGTGGTGGTGTGGGTGTGTTGTAGTTGATAGTGTAGGTGGTGTGGGTGGTGGTGTGGGTGGTGGTGTGGGTGGTGGTGTGGTTGTGTTGTAGTTGATAGTGTAGGTGGTGATGGTGGTGGTGTGGGTGTAGTACGTGGTGGTGCGGGTGATGTGTAGGTGGTGTGGGTGGTGTAGGTTTTGGTGTGGGTGGTGGTGTGGGTGTGTTGTAGTTGATAGTGTAGGTTGTGTGGGTGGTGGTGTGGCGGGTGGTGTGGATGTAGTACGTGGTGGTGTGGGTGATGGTGTAGTTGATAGTGTAGGTGGTGTTGGTGGTGGGTGATGGTGTGGGTGGTGGTGTGGGTTTGGTGTTGTTGATAGTGTAGGTGGTGTGGGTGGTGTAGGTGGTGGTGTGGGTAGTGGTGTTGTTGGTGGTGTGGGTGGTGGTGTATGTGGTGGTGTGGGTGGTGGTGTGGGTGTGATGAAGTTGATAGTGTAGGTGGTGTGGGTGATGAAGGTGGTGTTGTGGATGGTGGTGTTGGTGGTGGTGTGGGTGGTGGTATGGGTGGTGGTGTAGGTGGTGGTGTGGGTGGTGGTGTGGGTTTGGTGTTGTTGATAGTGTAGGTGGTGTTGGTGTTGGTGTTGGTGGTGGTGTGGGTTGTGGTGAAGGTGGTGGTGTGGGTGGTGGTGTGGGTGTGGTGTAGTTGATAGTGTAGGTGGTGGTGTGGGTGGTAGTGTGGGTGTGGTGTAGCTGATAGTGTAGGGGGTGTGGGTGGTGTAGGTGTGGTGTAGTTGATATTGTAGGTGGTGTGGTCGGTGTAGGTGGATGTGTAGGTGGTGGTGTGGTTGGTGGTTTGGGTGTTGGTGGTGGTGTTGTTGATAGTGTAGTTGGTGTGGGTGGTGTAGGTGGTGGTGTGGGTGGTGGGTGTGGGTGTGGTGTAGTTGATAGTGTAGGTTGTGTGGGTTGTGTATGTGATAGTGTAGGTGGTGGTGGTGGTGGTGTGTGTGTGGTGTAGTTGATAGTGTAGGTTGTGTGGGTGGTGGTGTGGGTGGTGGTGTGGGTGGTGGTGTGGGTGTAGTACGTGGTGGTGTGGGTGGTGGTGTGGGTGTGATGTAGTTGATAGTGTAGGTGGTGTTGGTGGTGGTGTGGGTGTGATGTAGTTGATAGTGTAGGTGGTGTGGGTGTGATGTAGTTGATAGTGTAGGTGGTGTTGGTGGTGGTGTTGGTGGTGGTGTGGGTGTGTTGTAGTTGATAGTGTAGGTGGTGTGGGTGGTGGTGTGGGTGTGTTGTAGTTGATAGTGTAGGTGGTGTTGGTGGTGGTGTTGGTGGTGGTGTGGGTGTGTTGTAGTTGATAGTGTAGGTGGTGTTGGTGGTGGTGTGGGTGTGTTGTAGTTGATAGTGTAGGTGGTGTGGGTGGTGGTGTTGGTGGTGGTGTGGGTGTGTTGTAGTTGATAGTGTAGGTGGTGTGGGTGGTGGTGTGGGTGTGTTGTAGTTGATAGTGTAGGTGGTGTGGGTGGTGGTGTTGGTGGTGGTGTGGGTGTGATGTAGTTGATAGTGTAGGTGGTGTTGGTGGTGGTGTGGGTGTGTTGTAGTTGATAGTGTAGGTGGTGTGGGTGGTGGTGTTGGTGGTGGTGTAGTTGATAGTGTAGGTGGTGTGGGTGGTGGTGTTGGTGGTGGTGTGGGTATGGTGTAGATTATAGTGTACGTGATGTGTGTGGTGGTGTAGTTGATAGTGTAGGTGGTGTAAGTGGTGGGGTTGGTGGTGGTGTGGGTATGGTGTAGATGATAGTGTACGTGATGTGGGTGGTGGTGTAGTTGATAGTGTAGGTGGTGTAAGTGGTGGTGTTGGTGGTGGTGTGGGTATGGTGTAGATGATAGTGTACGTGATGTGGGTGGTGGTGTAGTTGATAGTGTAGGTGGTGTAAGTGGTGGTGTTGGTGGTGGTGTGGGTATGGTGTAGATGATAGTGTACGTGATTAGGGTGGTGGTGTAGTTGATAGTGTAGGTGGTGTAAGTGGTGGTGTTGGTGGTGGTGTGGGTATGGTGTAGATGATAGTGTACGTGATGTGTGTGGTGGTGTAGTTGATAGTGTAGGTGGTGTAAGAGGTGGTGTTGGTGGTGGTGTGGGTATGGTGTAGATGATAGTGTACGTGATGTGTGTGGTGGTGTAGTTGATAGTGTAGGTGGTGTAAGTGTTGGTGTTGGTGGTGGTGTGGGTATGGTGTAGATGATAGTGTACGTGATGTGGGTGGTGGTGTAGTTGATAGTGTAGGTGGTGTAAGTGGTGGTGTTGGTGGTGGTGTGGGTATGGTATAGGAACTACTACCACTACAACAACCACAACCACACACACTGCAGGCACCTCTACCATTAACATCACAGCAACATCTACCACTACCACAAAAGTATCCACAACCACAAACACTGCAGCAACCTTTACCACTGTCACCACAGCAGCATCTAACACTAACATCACAGCAACATCTACCTCTATCACAAAAGCTACCACAACCACAATCACTGCAGCAACCTCTACCACTGCCACCACAGCAACATCTACCACTGCCATTACAGCAACATCTACCACTACCACAAAAGCTACCACAACCACAAACACTGCAACAACCTCTACCACTGTCACCACAGCAACATCTACCACTACCACAACAGCAACGTTTACCAAATCCACTACAGCACTATAACCACTACTACTACTACTACTACTACTACTACGGGAAACACTCCCATCAGAGGAGCCACAACCACAACTTCTACCGCTACAGCAACCGTTGGATGGCTGCTGTGTGAACTAATGGTTAATGTTGCACATATCCTACGACACTGTAGAGCGACGACATGCCCAGCAAACTCGTCTGAATATTATGACTAAAGGGATGATTGTATTCGAACTTAAAAGAAACCTCAAGACTTTAAACATGATATGATGCTAGTTCGATTTCACGTGACAAGACGTCATGAGGTGATGTGTGTTGTGAACATTGACGGTGTTACTTAGCCGGTCTGACGGTGGGGGAGACGAGGCGGTGCTTTCAGGTACTTTACCGCGTGTGTTTGTTACGGTGTACGTATGTGTCTGCAGTGACTTGACCAGGCTGTTGATGTGAACAACAAATCAAGTGTCAGTCATTGCCAGGTACTGAGATTGCTGTACAACCCTGAAACTAGGCAGTTGGTTGTATCATGCATTGCCAGGTACTGAGATTGCTGTACAACCCTGAAACTAGGCAGTTGGTTGTATCATGCATTGTCAGGTACTGAGATTGCCGTACAATCCTGAAACTAGGTAGTTGGTGGTATCCTTCATTGCCAGGTACTGAGATTGCTGTACAATCCTGAAACTAGGCAGTTGGTTGTATCCTTCATTGCTAGGTACTGAGATTGCTGTAGAATCTTGAAAGTAGGCAGTTGGTTGTATCCTTCATTGCCAGGTACTGAGATTGCTGTACAATCCTGAAACTAGGCAGTTGGTTGTATCCTTCATTGCCAGGTACGGCGATTGCTGTACAACCCTGAAACTAGGCAGTTGGTTGTATCCTTCATTGCCAGGTACTGCGATTGCTGTACAATCCTTAAACTATGCAGTTGGTTGTATTGTACAATCCTGAAACTAGGCAGTTGGTTGTATCCTTCATTGCCAGTAATTGCGATTGCCGTACAATCCTGAAACTAGGCAGTTGGTTTTATCCTTCATTGCCCGGTACCGAGATTGCTGTACAATACTGAAACTAGGCAGTTGGTTGTATCCTTCATTGCCCGGTACTGAGATTGCTGTACAATCCTGAAACTAGGCAGTTGGTTGTATCCTCCATTGCCAGGTACTGAGAACACCCACACCCACACCGAAATCCACAGGCACAGCCTCAGCCACAGCCAGAGCCACAGCCACAGCCACAGCCACAGCCACACCCACACCCACACCCACACCCACATCCACACCCACACCCACATCCACACCCACATCCACACCCACACCCACACACATCTACTGGTCTAGAGGTAACGATAATTTATATCTGATAATATTTGACTTAAAACATTACATGTTTTCTTATATTTCAGGTCTGACGTCATGACTGAACTTCAGGAAAAATATCGACGGAGTATCGGTAGATGGCGCTGTGCTGCTATAGCCTTGTTTCTCATTGCCCTGGCTTTAGTCGTCGCTCTTATTGCTGTCTCCATGATGAAGGACAGGAGGTTTGAACGCCAGGCGGCTGATGATTGTGGAGAAAGTTTTGGGAAGCCCGATATTGACACATCAGAGGCAGAGGAACCTGGGTTGTATGATGATCTTACTGTGAAGGAACTCAAAGCAATCCAGGACTATCTATACAGCCTGAAGATGCAGTTAAATCTCAAAAAGCCAGATAAAGCTGCAGTCAATGTTAGCTACATATATGTGTCAGATCTTCATCCACCTTTGAAATCAGAAGCTCTGGCTTACTTAAGCGGTTCTGGGCCTAAACCAGAAAGGAAAGCTCGAATAGTGATCTTCAGAGGTGACGCTGTCCCTCCCGTGTCAGAAGAATATATTGTTGGTCCTCTCCCAAATCCAAACAGTTGCAAGTTGTTAAGCGTTCCAGGACGTAAAAATCCCGTCCCCTATGCTTATAGGCCAATAGGATATGTCGAGTTTGGATCATACTACCTGAAACTGTTCCCTGACGTAGATAAAAAAATTGGTTTTATTTTGAAGGAGAGTTATGGTGCCACATTTACAAACTGTGGAGACAGATGCCTAAATTTCTACCCCACGCCTGTTAGTTCTGGTATCAGTAAATCTAGAGTGAGGAAGATGTGGTTAACAACAAGTCACTTCGTTGAGTATTACGACCTGAATCCCGTGGATTTCATGATGCTTGCAAATATTAACTCTCAAGACCCTACAAAATTCTATATTGAAAAGCTGGTGTATGCTAGCCAGGAGTACACGAGTCTTGATGATCTCGCCACTCAGTACAGATCTGGATCAATCCCCAAATCCAAGATACCATTCCCCAAAAACGTCGAAGATTTGAAGTCATCTTTATACAGACGAGGTAACCCTGTCCCGAAGAAGCCACAGAGAGCTCCCCGAATGTATGAGCCTGATGGTAAGCGATACAGTGTACACCACCGCCATGTGGAATACATGCAGTGGGCCTTCGACTTCAGAATGTCCACTTTAAGCGGTCCACAAATTTACGACATCCGATTCAACAACGAGAGGATAGCATATGAAGTCGGTCTGCAGGAGATAGCTGTCTTTTATGCGTCCAACAACTCTGCTACACGGAGTGCAGATTTCATCGACAGTGGTGCTCTTATTGGCACCCACTCTCAATCTCTGGTTCCAGGTGCGGACTGTCCAGAGACAAGTACATTCTTTAACTACTCCTATTTGGGCGAATCTTCTGAGGAGCCAGTTCTTCTCCAGAGAGCCTTCTGTTTGTTTGAACTGAACCAAGGACTTCCTCTCCGTCGACATCTGTCATACAGTCAGGTTGAGGGTGGCTTCTATTCCGGAATGGAGGACAATGTCTTAGTTCTCAGAAGCATCATGACAATAATTAACTACGATTACGTGATGGACTTTATATTCCACCAAAGTGGAGCTATGGAGGTTCGAGTTCTATCAACAGGGTATATATTCGGCTCCTTCTATACCCCTAAAGAGGATCCGTATGGCTTCCAGCTCAAGGAAAATACCATTGGCAGTATTCATCACCATCTTTTCCTTTTCAAAGCTGACGTTGACATTCATGGACCGAATAACAGATACGAGACGCTTGACATATCACGTGACGTTTCCCCCAATTCGCAGACGACAAACGACCCCAACTCTAAGTACTACCAGATCAAGTATGAGCGATCTCTCAAGCAGACTGAGATGGATGCAGCCTACAAGTTCAACTTTGAGAAACCAAGATATCACGTGTTCCACAACAACGACAACCCCACCAAATTTGGGGCAATCAAGTCTTACAGGTACTTAACTTTTAGGAAGCAATTTTACCCAAACTAAAGAATTTCTTCACACTTATTCAACACATAGGTAGTATGTGTCCCTTGTCCCCTGTGGCTGGAAGATTGCTGAGAGTAACCTGGCACTGATATTAAGTACAGGGAAATTAAGTACCCTTATCAGTTCAACAGTCGAGGATGAATAGTGTCAGGAAACAATGATATGCCGTGATATAAATATATACGTTAGCTGGATATCCATTGTTTATTGTGTTCTCTCAGAATTCACCTGGACGGAATGACGAAAGTGCTTGTCCCTGAGGACGAAGGTAATGAACCAGTTATTTCTTGGGCGAGGAACCAGATGACGGTCACCAAGTTCAAGGATGACGAAAGAGATGCCAGCTCAGTCTATGGCTTGTTCGATTCCATGGAACCCACTGTCAACTTTACATCGTTTTATGCTGACAACGACGAAATTGTTGATCAGGTAAAGATCAGATGCTTTGTCTATCTTAAAAAAGCTCACCACCCTCTCCCTGTTATTACATGTTGGACATTGCACAGGAGATATATCAGTGGAAATATAACGTAGAATTACTCATGCTGGAGAGAGGCATGAGACTTTTTGTCTTCACATTTTACTGGATACGTTTGACTCTTTTCTGCAAAACCAGAAGTCATAAACTTATCTGACATTAAGCATATATTTTCCCACACCGGAAGTGCATATAACTTTGTTATTAAGGCAGCTAGGTGCACATGACTTCCTGTTTCAAAGTTTTACTTTTTTACAATTTTTTTTAACTGGGAGTGCTATAACCTTTTGTCAATGAGGTACCTACAGACATGGGGCTGTCTGTTTCAAAATTGTCTTGTATCATGGTTGTGTTTTTTGGGATGGTAAATACCCTGTAATAGGCATAAACATTGAAGTTAGGTAGCCTTGATAGACGATAGACGCCGACGCCATATTTGTTTGTAAACACTAAAAGTAGTACCGACATGACCTTATATATTTGCATACGTATCCGGAGACCTACCCCTTATATCATACATATAGATATTGGTAACGTCATCTGCCATCTGATTTTGGTTTTGTGAAAAATTGGGTTATGCAAACACTTTTCTAGTTAATTACTTACTCGGACATGATGAACGGTCAGTTATTATTAATCCGACCCTAATCACCATGGAGTGGACATTATAATGACATTGACGTAACTGTTTATGTAAATAACACATTTCTTATGTATCCAAATGATAATTTTGGTGCCAGTGAAATGCGGCTGTGTCTAGGTAATTGTGTTGATCCTTGGGAAGTAGTTATATCCGGAATTATCATCATTAATTGACTACTCTCTAACTCCCGTCACATCACATGTACCGGAAAGACACTTGATGTAGTGTTAATAATAATAATAATAATGATAATAAGTGCATTTATAATGCGCCAGATTCCATTCACCAAGTGGATGCTCATAGCGCTACACTATTATTACCCCGGTCAAAGGATCAGTGAACACTCTGTTTTCATTCTCATCTCCCTGGGGAGTATACAACCCAAGCTGCCTGTGAGGCGCTAGAAGGTTAACAGCCACATTACCATCTCATCCTACCGGGTACCCACTCACTGCTGAGTGAACAGAGGCACATTTCGAACAAAGTCTCTTGCCAAAGGAGACACGACATGTGGTACATGTGCTTCAGTGTGGGGCAGGACCGATGCCTTAGAAACTCTCAGGAGTCAAGCTACTTTTTTTTTGCTTTTTCTTTTTATTCAGTCATATACACAGGATACAGATGCAGTCAAATAACAGTACAAATTCATGTATAAAGGTAATTCGCAAAGGATGTGGTACAGAGGAGGCATAAGGCATAATCCACAGCATGGTACAGGTGAAGGCATATTTATGTATACAATTAAGAAGGTGCGGTATTTATGGTACATCAAATTATGTTGCAAGCATCAAGTGAATAAGTTATTTTGCAATTTGAGTAAACAAAGCCCATTTTCTGTTAAAGGCAGAGAAGTAATTATTTCAAAATATGAGTCAAGTAAATACAGAAATCTTACCAAAAATTCTTAACAACATGACATTCGATATAAACATGAAAAACATTTCCTTTGTGAGTATGACACATAGAACACTCATCGTTATCAATAAGTTTCATTCTTAATAACTCACGTTTAGTAAATAATTCTTTATGAATAAATCTAAACTGGAAGTCCCTGAGTTTTGTGTCTCTTAACCCATGGCAATATATACACTGAATATTTGTTTCCATGGAAAAGAACATCCTTGTTGATTTTCCCATTTCAAACAAGATTTAGGGAGAGGGAGGGAATTCCCTATCAGTTTATTATAAAAAAACTTTTGTTCCTTTAATAGAACGTGTAAGATCATAAATCCAAGGAGATACTGTGAGGTTAGAGGAGGAATATAGATTTTTATCAATAGTTTGTCTCCAACTTCTTGGAATATTAAAAAACCAACGGTTATAGTCGAGAAAAGTTCCTTTAAGATCATAAAGTTGTTGTAAACGTGGGAAAGGGATCCATCCGTTTTCATCATACAAGTCTTTTATCGTAACTATACCTTTTTTTAAACCAGTCATTAAAAATTAATACTGGATCTCTAAAATAATGGTTTAACCATAATGGTTGGGAAGCAATTTCTGCTTTTTCTAAGTCTTCAATGTGATGTGAATGCATGAAGTCACTCCAGGCTATAATGGTATCTTACCAGAAAGAATTCATTTTCCCGATTCTTGTGGGAACTGGCACCTAAAGTGTAGATATGAGCTAGCTGAAAACTAGCAAGGTCATAATCAATGTTTTTTTCGCAATATCTTTTTAAACATGAAATTTTCAAAGATGATATAAATTTGGGTATATCAGTCATTATCAATCCACCTTGACTATAATTCCTTTTCAAACAATCCCTCTTAATCTTATCTCTTTTGCGACTCCAGATAAAGTTAAAAAGAATTCTATTCAGTTGATCAATAAAAGCTTTTGGTGGATTTTGGAGAGCAGAAAAAATATGTACAAGGGTAGAGAGAATTAAAGTCTTAACAACTGTTAAACTGTCAAATTACGTTTTTTCCATTTGCTTTTAATACAATAGATATTATCCAGGCGTTTTTCAGTGTTGATTACCCAAAGGTCTTTTAAGTCAACATTAAAACATATGCCCAAAACTTCAAAGTTGCCATCATGCCAATGGAGTCAAGCTACTTAACGCGGTCACCCACCCAACTAGTCTCCGAGACCGAAGTTGCTTAGCTTCACCTGATTTGTGAGCTGTGCGCTGTGCTACGCGATAATTCCCAAAGAACAATGAAGAACGATGCGTGGTTTATTTCACGATAAAACATTGTTCTATCATGACGTCATTTCTGGAGATTCGAACATGCGCTCGCAACTTGATGACGTCGTAAATTGGAGAGGGAAGTGTCTAGTGAGTTGTTACCCATGGATGTAGCTGGACAGCGCAATGACCGAACGGTCCCACCCAAAAGGGGGAGAGATATGACAATCGGTATTGGGAGGAAAGGTACAGGTAATCGAGTTGAAACTTGTGAGAATATGTGGGAAAGACCCAATTTAACCCCCCTGTTCATAAATTGGATTTGTCCGACATAGCCGCGGTCGGATTCTAGTTCATGGAGTCATCATTATGAAAATACCGGTAGATATGTTTAAAGCGTGTACTTTTTACCCTTAAAGAGGCTGTACCTGATGTTGATATCTCAAATAATAAATAAACGACTGGTAGCGGTGTTTATCGTAAATCACAACTGACATCCTAATAATGTTTCAGGACCTGGTGGCATGGATCAGTATGGGTGTCCATCACATCCCCCACACCGAGGACATGCCCATCACCCCCACCCCCGGGGCACATCTCAGCTTCGCCCTGCTTCCCTACAACTATTTCGAGGAATGCCCGTCCTCCCAGTCACGTGACTCCATCAGGGTAGAATACAAGGACAGCCACCACCCCGAGAAGGGAGCCCGGGTGGTTAGATACGGTAACGCGGAGAAGCCACGCTGTATCCCCAACACTCCAGACTACGACGCAATGGTGGAGCGAAACCCGTCATGCGCAATAGAGACTTCCTACGTACACCACGAGGCGGGAGACGAATATGTGTCAGCCAACGGCAATAATGAGCACCATTAGACCACGACTGTTGATCGTGTAGAAGTTGTTAAAAATAGATATTAACAAGTAGTTCTAGTAACAGCAACGTTTTAGGTAAAAATTGTTTTTCATGTACCGTTATGTAGTAAATTGCCTTTATAAATAATTGTAGCTGTAATGGCCTTGGACTGTTGGCTGTGGAATAAACACGCGTGCAGTTTTGCTTGGCCTTTTATCAACCATGCATTTAAACCTTAATGTGACAACCATGTGAAATTTTCCTAGACGTGAAACGTAACGGTATGCTCTCGACAATGTAATGCCCATGAACCTCCAGTTATTGTGTTTTGTTTGTTGTTTTTAGGCCGCACTCAGCAATATTCCAGCTTTAGGATCAGTTATTGTGAATGGCCAGTTGTTGTGAAGGGTATAAGGAAGTGTTGTGTGAATGGCGAATATAAAACTTCTATTTCTCAAATTTGAAAAAAAATGAAGAGTTGAAAATTAATTCTCGTCATCTCATCAATGACGAGTAATTGTAAGTTGTATTCGGAGAGTTCTGCGTCCGTCTGGAGTTAAATCGTACGTATGACACACACTTGCGTGCATGAGGGTACCATTGTGTACTCATTGTGTCATCTCTTCACGTTGCGATGTGTCTTCAGGCATCGTGTATGTAAATAGACTGCTCGTGAAAAATCATATATGTTCTTTGTACACAGACATCTCTGAACATGTACCTGCTATTTATTATTATGGAAGGACTTCACCCTATGTGCTATGTCTAACTGATGGTTGTGACGTCATTCAGTCCGCTTCGAAAGTGTTCCTTAATGGGCAGAGAGACTCAGATATGGTCTCGTGATGGATGGGAGTAAGCTGGTACATTCGCATGCTCTATATACTTATCAGATTACAATACATTAAGTAACTGTGTGAAATGCTTCAATAACAATGACTCAGTATAGGAATTTCTTTGCTGACTGTCATAATGCATCAGTCTGGTATTGTAAGATGAAAGAACATGTTTTACCCATTTTATAAACAGAAACAGTATTCATGATATTGCATGCTGATGAATCACTTTGAATGTATTTTGTGATGGGTTTATTAAATGAACCAAAACCTTTTTCGTACGTGTCCATCTAAAACGGTTCTGTCACACAAGAATCTTGCATGGATACTGATGAACCTTCTCACCGATAGTATGTTCATTTGGTCACGGTAGGATGCCACCTACCTAGTTTGACCCCCTGCTGTACTGCCAGGTACGTTGATACGGTCACGGTAGGACGCCATGTACCTAGTTTGACCCCCTGCTGTACTGCCAGGTACGTTGATACGGTCACGGTAGGGCGCCATGTACCTAGTTTGACCCCCTGCTGTACTGCCAGGTATGTTGATACGGTCACGGTAGGACGCCATGTACCTAGTTTGACTCCCTGCTGTACTGCCAGGTACGTTGATACGGTCACGGTAGGGCGCCATGTACCTAGTTTGACCCCCTGCTGTACTGCCAGGTACGTTGATACGGTCACGGTAGGACGCAATGTACCTAGTTTGACCCCCTGCTGTACTGCCAGGTATGTTGATACGGTCACGGTAGGACGCCATGTACCTAGTTTGACCCCCTGCTGTACTGCCAGGTATGTTGATACGGTCACGGTAGGGCGCCATGTACCTAGTTTGACCCCCTGCTGTACTGCCAGGTACGTTGATACGGTCACGGTAGGGCGCCATGTACCTAGTTTGACCCCCTGCTGTACTGCCAGGTATGTTGATACGGTCACGGTAGGACGCCATGTACCTAGTTTGACCCCCTGCTGTACTGCCAGGTACGTTGAAACGGTCACGGTAGGACGCCATGTACCTAGTTTGACCCCCTGCTGTACTGTCAGGTACGTTGATACGGTCACGGTAGGGCACCATATACCTAGTTTGACCCCCTGCTGTACTGCCAGGTATGTTGATACGGTCACGGTAGGACGCCATGTACCTAGTTTGACCCCCTGCTGTACTGCCAGGAGTAGTTATAGCCCGTACCCTGGTATCCGGAATGGGTTCTGCGCATGCGCGAAGAGGGCATGCTGGGTAATGCGTGCGCATCCAAGATGGCGTCACTTCCGGGAGGGCGTGCGCATCCAAGATGGCGTCACTTCCGGTTCCAAGAGGCTTGCGCCCCCAAGAGGGCGCCACATCCGGAGGAGGACATAATAAGCGCTCGGAAATGAAAAAAGGAACAGAAGCGCACGTAAAATCCTCCACTTTTTTTAAAAAAAAGATAAAAAGTGGTGGAGTTTTTTGTTGTTGTGGTGGGTAGATAAAGCAATGAGGAAAGCGTTCTTTCAGGAGAGATGGTTGGCCCTGAAAAGGGCCGTTGGAAACAAACTGGAACGGGAACTGGAACGGGAACGGAAACGGAAACTTTATCCTTGGAAGGCGGGAAAGCTTTTTCGCATTTTCCTCGCACAGATAGTGCCAGTAAGCTGCCACGTTCTTCTTCTTGTGTCTCACCAGCCTGGTCAGCTTGAGGTAGGCACAGTGAGAGGACCACTTGAGGTGTTTCAGCCAAGGATCGTCTTTGGGAGCCCATCTTCTCAGCTGCAGGCCACAATGAAAGCAGTACACATCATCGGCACTTTGCGTGTACACGAAGCCCGCATGGCCCATCTCTTCAGCGGTCAACCCTCAAACGAGGCTAGCCTTCTTTCAATGTGTCGATACAAGGGCGATGGTGACTTACTGGGTGGCGGTGGCGGCAGGTGTGGCCTACCATTACAACCACCCGTACACTCAGATCTGTCCCCACAAGCATCCGGACCCTCACTCCTGGGTCCAAAAGAATTCAGAAGAGTCCTGGTCCCCTCACAAGCATCTGTACAGCTCTTCGTCTGTGCCATTCTCGGTGCGATGATGATTTTTTTCACAATTGACACTGAACCCACTCGAGTGTTCGCTCTCTTTTCATAGGAGAGGGAGTAGATCGAAATAATCCCTGTTTTGATTGGTCGAAAACGCAGCATGCCGATTGGTCGGTTTCAGCGCCTGGCCTGAGCCCCGGTTTTCCAAACCGACCCGACCCTTGTGTTTCTTTTCCATAGGAACGAGCCTGTTCCAAAACCCTGGTCGAAAACCCAAGTTTCTGATTGGCCAGATTGTCGATCCTGTTTTGGGGAAGCCTTATCTATTAATCAAGAAAAGTAGACGTTCATCAGGCACTCATAGGCATTATGACTGACAAGCAGAATGAACCGTATTGCTTGGGAGAAGATAGAGGTGTCTTGAGCCAGATGGTTAAGAACCTCTAACTATACTTATCGTTTGACATTGAACCAAGACTACTTGGAAGATGTTCCATCACACCACCTGTCCACAGAACTGCAACGTTTATTTGACTGCGTGATCGAGGACATCTACCATCAGGTGTCAGGCCAGAAGCGTGATCGTATTGGTCTATGTATCCGTCACCCCACTTTGGACTGCCCCATACGGATTCCATTTCGCCGCTTTGAAGATCTCCATGGCCAGGATATCTTGTTTGCCGTGGAAAAAGTCCAGCAGTCCAACAAAGACACAATGGATGTCAAATTATTACATGTAGCAGATCCCGACGGGCTAGGATCAGGCAGTGGGCGTCTGAATAACGTCATTGGACTGGATGCATTTTTAGAATGCAAAACGTGCATTGTACCTAAGGCCTAAGAAGGTGAAACCATCTGGTAAGTCGATGTCTGTTCGCTTAATCGATACATTTGCAAGTGCGGTACCTATCCCACAGGACACCCTACCCTCCGCGACCCTCCTGTGGAGACCTTGTTTGATCTGCATCCTATGTCGTGTCCTACCAACGACACAACTCTACCATCCTCTACTACCATTCAGATCGGGTGGAAAAATGCTCTTTCCTGTGAGCTGCACTTGTCCCAAAACCCAGTCAGAGACGTCCTGTGAGCACACGGACGAAGAGAGGGCCTGGGTGGGCACGTACACCACCCTAGAAGTCCAAGAAGCCGTGAAGCAGTGTGGCTACAAAGTGATTCAGATCTATGAAGCTTGGCGTTTCGACACGTTTGACACGTATGACCCCGAGACCCAGAAAGGGGAACTCTTTGCCCGTTATGTCGACCATTTTTTCAAGTTGAAGACCCAAACCCCGAGGGTCGTACCGATCCTGATGCTTACATTGAAGACATCTATCAGAAAGAAGGCATCGTCCTGAACAAGGCCAACATCAAGAAGAACCCAGCGCTTAGGCTATAGTCAGACAGCGTATATCAGCGATCCTGCCAAGTACTTTACTGTTGAGAGATGAAAGAAATACCATCAACGATGTCATGGTCATCAACGAACATATGGTGTTGGTGAAATATACCCCCAAGAAAGAATTCCACATGCCACATCCTAAATCCAATGTTGCCATGGCTGCTTGGGTCACTACACAAGCGCGTCTCAAGCTGTACAGCATCCTCAAACCTCTGGATCGCAGGGTCTTGTACTTCGACATTGACAGTGTCATTTACATCCATCGTCCAGAGGAATGGAATCCACCCCTGGGGGATACGTTGGGTGATTTAGATGAGCTGGGCGGAAACACCATCAAGACGTTTGTGTCAGGGGGTCCCAAAAACTATGCCTATGAGTTAATGCACCCAAGATCCGATGGAACGCGCAGCACAACCTGCAAAGTGCGCGGTTTCACCTTGAATTACAGAGCCTGTCAACACCTCAACATCTGATTGTTGGACAACAGTCTGAGGATGACATCATCAGGGTGCATCATCCTCATCGGATCATCCGTGCAGTACTTCACAACGGGAACGATCTCCTGACCCAAGCCACCACAAAAGACTACCGCATCATCTACACCAAGCGACGCATCCTCTACAGTACTAACACAGGGCTGCCTGTAGACACGGCCCCTGTGGGTACAGAGACTAGTCCATTTTTTATGATGTTCCTAACGTTGTGTTGGTTGTTGGCGTTTTATCTGGAAGACAGGCGCGTTCGGAGAGAGTACCATGCACTGTTCACTTCCATCCGTGA